CCCCAAAACCCCAAAACCCCTCACAACAGAAATCAATAGGCTTGCCATATCATTAGAATAAATTAATTTAGTTTCAAAAGCCTATTAATTTCTGATCAAATTTCAAAGCCTGGGAATTTAATGTCATATTCGAAATACTATGTGTCCGAAGGCCATCCTGAGAAATCTGCCAAGGCTACAATAGTCCCACTATAAAATATGATTACAAAAAATATAAAATGTACGCTTATCCCTCCATAAGACTGTATGGATGATCAGGTACTCCTTAGACAGTAAAACCACTAAACTCATACTCATCCATCCCCTACAAAATTTCATTATTCAGAGTTGTCTTTATAAATGCTTCAGCTCTTTTCTTCCAAATTTCATCGTTAGTAAATCTGTATAGACACATCATAAGTATAGCGTTACCACAGATGCCGTGGCACAATCCGAAACCCTTCTTGATAAGTCCATATTTCCAAGTACATTCTGCGCTGAGAGTAGCTGCTTCGAGATATCTCTTACTCCCGAAGGTCTTGCACGCTTCCACAAATAGAGGTATTGACCCTGGAGCTCCATGGCAGAAATGCACAGCATATTCAGCTTCTGCCTCGCCTTATGGATCCTAGCTCATTTGATAGCCAAAGTGTCCTGCTTTGGTCTACCTAGATACTAAATCATCTAATGATTTTATAACAACATCTTTGAGATTAGTCATCTTTTATAGGTCTGGCAAGAGCTGCATAGCCTTAATGATCATGTATAAGATTCCAATTGAACCATGAGCTGCTCCTATATATGGCTTTTTACCTCTAGGAAAACTGAAAGTTAAAAAACTGTTTCCCTCTACTAATCCAGCTCTCACAATATCAGCTACAACTCGAGTTATAGCATCATCGACTTATTCTGAGAAGTACTCTGAAAAATCGAGTTTTAAAACAAGAAGGCAATACAGATACCCTGCATTGCCATAGAGCAACTCATCTTCCATCCTGTAGCCTTCTTCTTCAAATATAACCATAAAAGAGAGAATCTTTTTCATGCAATTCATTATTCCTAACTATGCTTGTTCCTCTTTAGCTTAGTCCTTAAATAGCAGACATCCTATAAGATAGTAAGCAGGCGTACCGATGAAAAAAGTAGGAATCTTCATTGATTTTTACTTAACACTCTAAATTTCATACTGCTCAATGAAGGGTTTTAGCTTATCATAAAGGTCCACAGCTTTTGCAAAATATTCATCCTTTAATTCAGGCTAATTACTTCTCTTAGCGTATTCATAGAGTCTGTAATACATGTATAGATAGCCAGCAGAGCCGATGTAAGCTGAAATGTCTTGTCTGATTTTTACTGTGCTAGATATGATCTTTAAAGGATCAGAATTTTTACTCTCTTGATTTTTAATCACTATGATAAAAGTAAAACAATTTTATTTACATGTGAAGAGTTTATCCTTGATTGTCTCATCGAAAGATTTTTCTGGAATTTGATCAATATCAAGATTGTTATCAAAATATCTAATCCTGTTTAATAATGAGAAATCTTCCATAAAAATGTTAATTAAAAAATTAATTATTATGTTGTAATATTATATCGTAATAAAATCTTTTTTTAATATAGTGCGGGGTTTTGGGGTTTTGGGGTTTTGGGGTTTTGGGGTTTTGGGG